ATTATGGATTAGGGTTTACTTGTTAGCTTAATAGCTTGCTAATGTCGTTGTATCCTTGCGGTTTTGGAACGGCGGCCTTATGTGTTTTTGTTTTTTCTTTACCATTTTCTGAAGGGTTTTATATTGAGGAAGATGATGAAAAACAGTTTTTTAGGGTTGGTGGTTTTTTTGTTTTGTTTGAGTTGTTGCCACCTGTGTACCTCTTCGAACCGTATGCCCTCTTCTCTATTTTTTTTTTGTGTCTGTTTATATGAAAAGAAAGAGGTTTCTTAGGGGGAAAGATATCAATGATTTGAACTATTTTGTTGCCCTGCTTTGTTGCTTTCTTGATGTAGTTTTTTAGTTTGCTATTCTTGTGCAGGGTTTTGTAGCATTAGAGTGTTATGTTTGGCATTGGGAAGCAAACTTTTTGACATGTTTTTTTGACTGATTTAGAACGGTTTTCAACAAGGTTTTGGATTGTTTTTGGCTTTATGACAGGTTTTGGCTTGTTGTGTTTGGTTTTACAGTGAAGCGGATTGTTTGCAACAGGGTTGAGCTATTGATAATGTTTATTTTATTGATTTTGTTATTGCAGTAACTTGTCTCTTAAGTTGTCTTATTGTGAACCAAATCAGTTGTGTGATTTTCAATAGGAACAATCTTGGGCCAATGATAGAATCTGATTTCATTTGCAAGATAATGAAGTCTTTGTTGGGCTTTGGCACATGATTTAATTCAAATCCCTTGTTTCTGATTCCTTCATAAACCCTAATGATGAGATTATAAGAAAACTTTGCTTGAAAACTTCTTGTTTATGTTTTAATGATGATTGAACTAACCAATTTCCTCTCTTTTGGTTTCATGTGATGGTTGTTGATTGGAAGATGAAGAAGGCAAGGCAAGGTTGAAGAAGGCGAGGCAAGGTTGAAGAAGGGATTGTGGCTAGCATGAAGTTTGGAAAGGAGCTTGAAGAATTTAAAGTTTCGGCCCATACAAGCTCATCGAATAGCTTTAGGATTTAGATTCTTCTTTTTGTTTTTTGTCTTGTAAAGAAGACTTGGGGGTACTTATAAACGATGAATGAATAGCTTGACTCCATGTAATTTATGATGAACTTGAACTAATGATGAATGATGTGATTTGACATCAAGCAAAATGTATGTTCTTGTGACAATGAGAATGTAGTTGAAGTTTAAGCCATGACAATCTTGAATGTGTTAAAGTCTTTCCACATTTGAATCAAACCAAAACTTGTAATGTTGATATGAATTTTCTTGGAGTTTAGGTTTAGAAATGCTTGAACTCTTGAGTCATGAGTGTAATTCAAAATTATGAGTGTAACTCTTGAGAGGAACTCGAATGAATTTTGAAAAATTGAACTTTGAATATGGTCTTGAGAAGTGCTTGAAATCTTGTAAAGAATGACCTTGAAACTTTGAATTTGGAAAAGAAACTTGAAATTTGAATCAACTTGAATCTTCTTTTAACTTGCAATTTTCAAACTCATGAAAGTAAGAAATTCTCTTCATTTTTTTATCTTGAAATTAAATGAACTTCCCACTTGAAAAACATTTGGAACCCTTTATTAACTTTGAAATCTTCAAACTCAACACTTCATGATGAATGATCTCACCATAAGAAACAATGGCTTGAGGAAACAATTATGGCATGAATTGAAATTAGATGTTAAGAACATTTGAAGCCAAAAGTGACCTATAATGTTTCAATCAAATTCGTGGCCTTCTAAGCACATTTTTCTCTCATTCCTTGAAACAAATTTGTAGACAGTGCCATTTGTGATATGTCACAAAAAGAATCAATCGAAAAAGATGAAAATCGAAAGAGTTATAATCCTTGGAATTTTGTCAAAAGTTACTTAAAATTTGGTCAAAGTCACAAAACAACCTTTAATGTACTCAAACTTTTGATGGCCTTATACACATAATTAGCTCTTGACTTGTAAAGAGAAGTTTGAGATGATGTTAAAAGAAATCATATGAAAAAGAAACCACTTAAGAATATTGAATAATGATGAAGTTATGATTGTTTGAACTTGATCTTAAAAATGCTGACTTTTGGTTAAAGTGCTTTGAATTGACTTGCAAATTTGATCTTTCCTTGCATTTCAAGACATATTGATGCCCATGTGAACCAGTGATGATGAAGTTTTGATTGTACTCTTGAGATTATATTCCAAGCTTTCATGAAGTATCCTTTGGGAATCAATAATTACCCATACTGACACTTGAGGGGTTCAAACCCTAGCTGAGGCGTGATGCTAACAAACCTTGATTTTTAATCACATATAGGAAAATAAACCCTAATCCAAGATCTTGATGAATTTGAATGCGAAACGGTCTTGTACATGGATGAATAAGAAACTCATCATAACCACACTTCAAAACCTGATTTCCACTGTCCACTGCTCCAAGAAGAACCAGAGAAGTCAACTGTAGAATGTAGAAGCCTCAAACCAAAATTAAACCCTAGTTAGCATAACCACTGATTCTGAACCCCTGCTTTATTGAAATGAAAGAATGATGTGTGAACACCCTAATGAGAATGATGCAAATGAAATGTAAAGCCTAAGCAATATAAAAGTGAAAAGATAGGATAAATTTGGGGTATGACACCTACCCGTCATGCCAAACCCTAACCCACGCGAGGAGTAATCTCCCCGGCAGCTGGGTTTAAACCTCACTTGAGGGTTCATCAGAAAACACATGAAAATCATCACAGAAACCCAGAAACGGCCCAAAAGCTCATTGCAACTCGTCGTTGTCAGCCTTAACGCCAGACATTCCCGAAGAATTCACAATGGAGCCGTCATTCTCATGTGGTAGAACCACTGTTAGACGCTAACAAACCACTAGAAATTTCCGCACTAAGCTACTTTAATCCTAACCGCATGCATCTCCAAAGCAAAATCAGAAAATTTAACCTAGAACAAAGATGAATTTCACAAAAACAGGGGGAAATTTAAGAACTTACTGGGTCGGGGAAGATTGACGACGGAACGAGCATGGACTCCAGCGTTGAACGGTGAAATGGGCAGAAACTTCGGTGATGAACAGCGGTGCTTTGCAGAACTAGCAGAGACGAGCAGGAGGAAACAAGTGAAAGTGCAAATGAAGCTTCCTCCCTCCCATTTATAGGGAGTTTTTCTAGCACGTGAACGGGCACGCGCCTAGGGAAATCTAGGGGTCGTCATCATTGCGCCTTAGTCCCTAGACTTGCCATCATTTTGCATTTATGGTAGCATGTGGCTCGATGCAAGCATGGCATGTTATCTCTCAGAGTCCAATTAACCATTCGACGTCCCGCGTGCCGAACACAAGGGACTACGTTCGGTTCCCTCAACACAGTTATCCCCGAATGCATCCCAAAGCGTCCATGTCTCCCACGACGAGCACCAAAAAGTACTGCCACCTCCTTGACATGCGGGCTGACTCTAAGTCATCACTCCTACACCTAGGAGCAACGACTTGGGAGACTCTTGTTCTGGACTGGCCCAATGGCTAGGCATGGCTCAATCTGTTTTTACCTTCCACTTGGCCCAACAGCTTTAACCCACTAGCTCTGGCCCTTCAGTCGGGCACACTTGGTCGACTGCATCCCACGAGCGGAGAGACAACGACGCCCTGAGCCATACGCCTGCCCGCATCGGCAACTACCTTCAGGTCTGCTCGACATGCGTGGAGCAGACAACCAAGAAACGTCCATAATGCATATGCATGTAATCTTTACCTTGCTCGGAGCAACGACTAGTTACGAGCATGATTGTCTGTTTTGACTAGGTCCTGACATTTACCTATTTTTGAAGAAACTAATATCTAGACCCCAAAATAGGAACCAATAGTCAAGCGTCAGAGACACTATAAACCCTCACATTTGTGAGGGTCAGGTATCGAATATTCACTCTAAAAAACCCTAATCTCTTTCTTATATCTCTTTGCACCCATACTTACTTGATCGTCAGAGTGCCTTGCAGATACACTCCCGTCCTCTCCTCAATTTTCCAGCCTAGCAGACGTCATCCTGATCAATTATGAAATGTCTCATTTGAACTTTAGTGTGTGTAATTAGTTGATTGAGTGTTTTGTCTTAGATCTAAATAAGGTGAGATGATTTGTGACTTTTTGTTGTTCTTGGTGAATTTTGATCAATGATCCTGGCGGCACAAGAGCTAACCTAAACCCTTGCTTGTTTTATGTAGGTTGTTGTGTATTGTTGGATTTTTCATTCATTTTCTTGACAATTCTTTGTTTTAATGTCATTTTGCCATTAAAAAAACAGTTAATGATCAACGTTAAAAAAACAGTTTTAAAAGGCCAACACCCATCAAATGTCCCAATTTTAATTGTCACCGCCATATGTTTCAATTTGTTACACATGTTCACGCATCAAAACCTGTGTTAAAAGTGTTTTGGAGAAAAGCTAAAGTCCTAATCGGATTTATAAATTTTATAGGATATATTTCAGTCTAACCATAATTCTATTCTGAAAAATAAAGCATACTAATACATGACAAATTCATATCCCACCAAAATATTTTTTAATAATTCCACGTTAGTTCCCATATTCTGCTCAAATCAGCGTTGTACTGATAAAAATAGGAAAGTGTATAAACCTGAAAAATATAGAAATAATTTCCATATTCGGACTTGTAATGTAACTATAAATTCTGAAGTGTCAGATTTAGTCCTAGTTAATGAAACAAGGCTAGAACCACTGCCAAACAACTTGACAAACTTTAGAAAAATCTTTCTAATTTGGTGTGAAATAAGATGAAACTGAAGCATTATAAGAGGCCCATTTTTCCAAATCGAGACACAAACCTGGCTAGAAACAAATCACCGCCATTCATGCATTCAATAAATCTCAATTATACAATATCCTAATGTTAAAAGTCGACACAGCAAAGAGGAAACAAACGTCTCCCACTTAAACTACCACTGAATGGTACAAAGGAGGGAAAATTCATTCGGACAATCCTTATAAGGAATTTTCAAATGTTTCTAATTGCTTGGAGTAGCTTCTTTACTCTCTGTAGTTGCCTCACCGGCACTCTTGCCAGCAGCATCATGCTCACTACCGATCTTTCCAGCATCTTGTTCACCAGGCTTTGACACTTCTTGACCTATAAATTTGCAACCACAGGTTAGATGGAGTGAAAACATACCAAATATCTTGATGATGGTTTGCAATTGCAACATTTCTTTCTATTCCACATATTAATCATGTGCATTGTGTTCATAAAAAAGGATTATAACCACAATGAAGAGCCAATATCAATTACAAGCAGCAACATAAAGTAAACTAGAGGGGGGTAAAACGCAACAAATTGATGCTATAAACTGAATTCAAAATAAATCTTCTTTTCTATATATCCCTTATCCGAGTAGAGCATCCTCAATTTGAAATTGATAACCCACAATATTACATATAAAATTCAAATTCAATCTCCAATTGGTATTAAATAGACCAATCTACATGTAATAAGTTTTTTTATATTTCTATAAAAGCTCCATACAGCACACATGATACAAGCTGTAGTTACTCAATCAATCAATCCAATTTAGCTCCACAACTCAAGAACTAGCCCTTGATCCTCGTTAATATTACTAACTTTATGATGCACATATATAGAAGCAAAAATCCTTAATAATTAACCCATATTTAACATATCCTACTGCTATGTTGCCATAAATTCCTCTTTTTTTTAATATAGTAAGCAGCCGTGTTTCTAGACACAAGCATATTATATTAACATGACAAACCACAAAAAACCCAAGTATACAACTAGCTTAATTGCCACCGCTAGTTCCAAAAATCATGCATACTATATCATGTGCGGTGAACAAAGAGAAGAGAGAGACATCAAGCATAAAAATGTAATTATGTATGCATACCTTCATCATCACTCTCATCAATATCATCCATTGCGTCGCCACCACCCATTCCACCAAATTTCTGCAGCACAAGCAAGTAATTAAGTATTTACATACAACATATATAAATCAATAGAAGAACAGCAAATCAACTGAAAACATCACATACAGAGAAGTCCATTCCTCCCAGTCCTCCCATTCCTCCCATTCCTCCCAGTCCACCCATTCCTCCCAATCCTTCTAGTCCCCCCATTCCTCCTAATCCTCCCATTCCGCCCAATCCTCCCATTCCGCCCATTCCACCTTCACCGCCAAATTTCTGCAGCACAAAAAGTAGATACAAATTACAATGCATAACATCAATAGAAAAATACTTAATTAATTGAATACATCACACAAGTGTACTAAAGATAGAAACTTTGTATTGTAAATTGGTAAATTGTGAATTCAATTTCTTGTTAAGTTAAAAATGGTTAAGTTAGAAACACTTAACTCCATTGATTCCAACGATAATGACACCTCCCACTTAAATGATGAATAAAATATAGGCAATGCTAACAAGTGTACTAAAGATAGAAGCTTTGTATTGTAAATTGGTAAATTGTGAATTCAATTTCTTGTTAAGTTAAAAATTGTTTCTCCAGGACATTTCTATTAGTTGATTACTAACATGTTCCCTCAAGGCAAAGTAAGCAAGACCCTAGACAATAATAACAACATGATCCAATTAAAAAAAAAAACATATTGCATACCGAGAAATCCATTCCTCCCAAGTCCACATCACCACCTGACCAACAAAAAACAAACCAATTCAATCAAATTTCCAATAAAACTACATTGCCTTCCTTTATACATTAAAAAAAATCCCAAAACAAAAATACACACCTTCATCCTCATCTTCATCAACCCATTTATCCCAATCCACTTTCACATAATGTGGAGCCTTTCCTTCTCCACGCAGCAACCTCTTCCACCATCCACTCTCAGCTTTCTGCACTACAGCAATTATGCTTCGCACTCCTACACTGATTTTGCTCTCCTGCAACCAAACAGCCATCAACAACACACAATAAACACAAACAGAAATAAATCATATTTTTGCAAGCAAATCATAAACACAACTATCATGTAAATCCACCAAAGGATAAACGTTCTTATCGATGCCAATGATGTCATGGTTATCCAAAATTAGAGGACATTTTCTCACCTCTACATTAACCTTGTCAAAAAGCTCCAATTTCAGCTCATACTTATTGTCTCCAGCCCCAGCACTACCAGAAAAGATAAACTCACCCTCAGGGGTAAGATCAACTTTAGCATCTTTGGAATCAGCCAATTGCACTGTGATGTAGACCTTGTCTACTCTCTGAGCCCACTTAACCTCTGGATGACGACTGCAACATAAAGCACAACAAACAAAAATTATCTAACAGATCCATTTCGAATCAACTCCAACAAAACAAAAATAGCAACAAATTGAATGCAAATCAGCCAAATAATCACATAAAATAAAACGAAACGAAACCTAAAAAAAAAACTTCCCGAATCAAAACAATTGAACCGATGAAACCGCGATTGAAAGATTATGTAATGAAATCGAAACGGTAATTAGAGAGAAACGGAGAAATTGTTCGGAATGAGGAATGAGGATCGGAGATGAGGGATTTGGAGTTCGTACCTCATATTGGATTTGGTTGAAGAACTCGAAGAGGAAAAAGGTAGGTACCGTAAAACCCTAGTTCCTTCTTTCGTTGGCTACAGAGAAAACCCAAAAAAATGACACTTATTGAGCTATCACTTTGGAAGAGTGGTATTTATATTTTATAGGTAAACGTTGATTGGATGACACTTCAAGTATTTTCCTGCACGGATCGCTCTCGTAGAATATGCTGCTGAACTCGTCATGGATCGGAATCATGGGCTAGATTTTGTGGTGTGATTGACTTGGCCCAAATATGTGAGTTTTGAGTTATTTCTATTTACACCTATGTTTTTGTGATATAGTCACCCAACTTTGGGATTTTTTTTTATTTAAATTTTTCTTACAATCACAAATATTTGACTTTTATTACTGGAAGATTTTGAATCTATCTCTCTGGCCAGATCTGCTCCCTCAAAATAACTAATGGACAGTAAAAATTCTCCACATGTTGCAGCACATTCTCAAAAGACTATGTAACCGCCCCAAGGCTTGAAGAAGTACATTATTTCAATTTTTGAGTTAGAGAAGAATTTTGACTATGCAAAAACTCCAACTCCTTGGCAGAATCAAGAGCCTTTTTATTCCTCTCCATTGTCTTCGCCAAATGCATCACATGACTGCCCGCAATGTCAGGTAAATTGAGCGGAGCTAGAGCTTTGATTACGTCTTTCAGAGAGATGGAAGTCTTATGCAACTCTCTTAAGTATATATCTCTTTGAAGAGGCAGGCAATTAAAATTCATCTCCAATCGATGATTCTTGTCACACGCCTGATTCGTTCCGTCCAAAGAGCTTCCCAATGGTCGGACCCACATAGAGTTAGAGCAACAAAAGCTTACTTAGTAGATCACGCCATGGTGTTCAGCTTTTCCCCTAGAGTATGTCCGAAAAGATTGGAAAAAAAGGTCCAATCATCATCAAAGACGAAATCTTGGCACTCACGAGAATGACTGATATCAGACCCTGGATATGTTTGCATACCCGGAAAGGCAGAAAAAAAGAGCAACGTAATGAGGGGACTCTGAAGGAAGCGAAGAATCTACTGCTGTGACGAGTGGTTGTATCCCATGCTTTAAAAGTCGGTCCTTTACTTCTCCCTTCATTACATCTACATGAAAACACGATTGTTATCCAGACAAGAACCAAAATGGGGCAAATCAATATCAAAAGAATTACGGAAGTTTCAAACTTACTGAAGGTAATTCGATGTTCCTCGCAAGAGCGAGCCCTATTAGAAATGAAAAGTCAATCATATGCTTCAAACGTTTCACATCGGCCTCATCCAAGGGGACTCCACCTCCAAGATAACCTAAGTTATTAACAAAGCCTACTAGATTGTTCTTTTGATACGAGTCTTCATAAGAAAAATCTCTCTATTTATAAATGTATATGTCATTCTCCACGAGGAAATGGTTCACCGACCAACAATGAGGAAACAATGGCTTACATTTAGCCCCTACTCCTTGCTCGGTCCTGCAAATGGTCGCATGAGCCAGGGGATAAATGGGAGTAACCAGGAAGAACCGGTCATCAAAGGGCGACAACTCAAGAAATTCTTCAAAGACTTGTATCGTTGGGCCCAAGGAAACTAACTCTCATTCTCTTGGTCAGACCAAGGTACTACGGTGGCAGTGGAAAAGATGAAAAAATAAGGCGATAAAGGGTTTCCCATTCATATATTCACACCAGTATTAATAATCCCTTACATATGCCAAACTCGATAGATGGAGTTGTTAAGGAGACACCATCTAGTGATTAAAAACACCAATCTCAAAAGCAGTAAAAGGTAAGCAAACAACCATGATTGAGAAGAGATATTCATAAAGAGGGATAGTGCAACTACTATAATCGCTGCATATTCTATCACCCTCAGTAGGGGTAGTGGAATCCCAATGTGATGGTTCCCCCATTTCAAGAAAAGCTTTATCCAAGTTTCCCTCCTGGGCAAAAACAGACACGGTGGAAGAATATATATAACCTTCCCATGAAGATGTTGAACTCTTTCGGTTCCCTTTTACATTCTTCCATAATTTTTTAGCCATATTGCATTAACTTTTTTGAATACAGGAAGATAAAATGTCAAAAAAGAAAAAGATAACAGCTTAAGAAGAATGAAAAAAGAAAGATCCAAGTGAAAATTGCCTTATTTCTTCCTAGACTTACGTTATGACGATGTGAAAAGAAATGTGTCTTATCGAAGATTTTATCTCTCGCACGTAATACTCAAGTGTTTCTGTCCCTAAGAATGTTAAGAATGATGTCCATGTTTATCAGTGATTTCTGACAAACAACCACTAGTCTTCCAAAATCTATGTTTTGGTAACTTATAGGATCTACTAGATTGATCCTAGAACATATGTCTTAGTATTACAATTTGACTTAAAATTTGACATAATAATAAGGTCTTTCTACGTGATTATGGTTACTTCAAGATGTTTGAAATTTAGCTATAAATCTTAAATATAACTTTAAAGGAAATGATCTAAATGTTTATAAAATATAAATAAAAAATGCTTATTAAGGAAGTTCGACAAAATCTGTTAAAAGTGTTTGACTGGAAAGGAAAAGGAATAAAGAAGGAAACTAAAATAACTTTGTAATAAGAAAACAACATTGAATAAGATGATGGTGTTCTTACACATACATTATCAATAAACTTTTTTCTCTCGCTCTGGTACTTTGAGTATGAGTGATTTGTATACAATGTGAACACCATGAATCCTAACATTTAAGACTCCTATTTATATTAATTCGACCCTAACGGTCTTTCTATGAGATTACGCCATGTTCGACATCTTTTGCATGCATACATTTTGGCGCTTCCATGCTTCTTCCTGGCGAAAACGCATTAGTTTGAAATTTAAACTTCCCGCTAAAAGCTTTTGAATTCAACTTTGAATTCAACCAACATAACTGTCGAAGTATTCACATGTCTTGAAATATTCCTTTCACTTTAATTTGCCCTTCGACATGTCGAATCATAAAAATTGAGCTTTATAAAATAACCTTATAAGGTCAAATTTCATGTTATTTTTAAAATATGATCTTCTCAAGTCAACTTTCAATTTTTTATCAGATGTTAAAATCTTCAGCTAACAAATTTTCCCCAATAAATGTCTATTTTGAATCAATGCAGAAATGGACATTTTTTGTAATCACCAGATTTTGACTAGCAACCTTTCATTTTCCTTCATTTCCTGACGTCATAGTTAATCAGAACTGCTTTTTCAAAACGTCTCATCAAGACATGTGTGCAACAGTTTCACCGTCATTATATACCAACTTCCAAGAACATGAATAGTGATCTTTCACTTTTCTCCGTCAGATGTTGACACGTGCCCCACTAACTTCCTGAGGTGTAACCTCCAACTTTTCCACTTATCACTATAAAAAAGTTATCTCTTTTATTATTATTTTTTCTACTTTTGCAAACCCAGAAATCTTCATGCTCTGATTTACGCTCTCATTCCTTCTTGAAAAATTTATCAGTTCTTCAAATCTGCAACAATGTCTTCCGGTAAACAAGATTCCAAACATGTTGAGAAATTTGGAATCTCTAAAGGTTCATCTCCTCAAAACGTACCAACAAGCAAAATCATCACTTATGGGAAACAAGAATTTATCACACCTCCCAAACTCACTAGGGAACAAAAAACCATTTACGCTTCTCATGTATTAATTCCTTCTTTGTTTTCTGGTAAAAACTTAGGCTTCTTAGGGCTTTAATCGCTACAGGCGATTTGGAAAAATATGTGGAATTCTTTCCAACTTATCACGCTACTAAACCTTTAGCAAATAAAATTGTAGCTTCTAAAGAGAACATTGAGGATTCCACCAAGAAACCTAAAAAGTCTTCTAAGAAAACTTCTGAGAATAGTTCTTCAAACCCTAAGATAAAGAGAGAAGATTTCCAATTGGATTATATAACTGAGATCTTCAGACCTTTTAGATCATGTCCAACCTTAAATAAATCTTACTTAGCTTGGCTTACTAAGGTTGAGAAGAAAAAAGCTCAAGTTTGGAAAGAATTCGGAATTTTTGACCTAATTCAAATGTCAAAGTTAGGCTTTAGTTATTGCCAGCCATTTCTGTTAGCTTCCCTGTATTTCTGGGATAGTACCTACAACACTTTTCACCTCCCTTGTGGAATGATAACTCCCACCTTCTTTGATATAGTTGCCATTACTGGACTTCCTCCTACTAGAGAGGCTTTTGATCCTGTAACACAGTGGGAGAACTGACTTGGGTGTTTTGCGTTTGATCGCAATTGTTACGGATAGCAAGAGTCGCCACCGACTTTTCTTTTATCCAATAAGGAAAGGATGAAAAGAACGGGAAAGACCTTTAGAGATGTTTTCTTGAGTCCTGGGGGTAGATTATAAAAAGGGAAGGTATTAGCACCCTTTTCATCCGTAGTTATCTACGGGCTCTTAGTTGCTTGCTAGATCACTTGCTTTGTTTGAAAATGTGCTTGTGATGTGAGTTTTGAAAGTATTTTGAAAATGTCTTTGTAATGGTTCTCGTTTCTATAAGAACGCGTACAAAGTATTGTTTCGAAAATAGTTCAAAGAGGTGTTTGTGGAATGTGTTTTTGAAAGTGATTTTGAAAAGGTGTATTTGTAATGGCTCTCGTTTCTATAAGAACGCGTACAAAGTATTGTCTTTTGAAAATGTTTCAAAATGAGAGTGTTGGTGTATAAAATGTTTTTTTTGTGAGCAAGCGAGCAACTAGGAGCAAATCTACCTACTCAAAAGGTCTTAGATGTTATTTTCCTCCTCCTTTAGATGTTGCTATCTTACCATTGTTTTGGTAAGAAGCCCCATCGTTGGATGTGAAGGGAAGGTCGTGGGACGTTTGTATAGTCATATAAGGCAACTTATGGGACATTTTAGCAATGTTGTTTAGGGACTAGATCGTTTACCGAAGGCAACACCGAGGGTCATCGAGGGTGTTGCACCCCAAAATTTGCCCTCTCATGTTT